TAAAAAAATTCGTGAGGTCCTGGCGGACCTCGTTCCGTGACTTAGTTGGCGTAGCGTTTGTCACGGTTTGCTAGGAGACGTCGGCTCCAATCCGGCCGGATTTAAGGATTTTTTTCTAAGTATACGATATTCGTATTAATAATTATACTCAATTAGCTTTTTCGATGCTTTGATAATGAATCACAAGGATTGATAGGTCTCTTTAATGCACGTCGTCAAAAACACTGGTCCACAAAATACACGGGATGTCGGTTACATTCTTTACTATGTTTTGTAAAAAGTTCCAGGACAAAAGTTGCTGTTTTTATACGCACACACTCAACATAGCCCCGCACTAGGGAAACCCTGTGTCGCGAGTGCCATGGACACACACATAGACTGCCAAAATCAGTAGATAAATAAATGTAGGCCATACAAATATTTCTCCCGGCCCGGGAATCGAACCTAGGACCTCGGCATGGTAACCTTTCGGACAGGGAGGCAGTTTGTTAGCAATATAGTTGGTTGTATTTTATAAATAACCCTACTATAATATCTAGTTTGTTAAAATCCACAACATAATTCTAAACATTGAATACGCGGTCGCTTACGCCCTCAGTATCTTACTGTTTGCTTATTTACCACATCAAAATAAGTTCCAAGAGATTATCCTATATGAACTGTAGTACAGTAGAGTTAAATGTAAACTATAGCGGGGTTAACGGGGTTAACTTGAAAAGACGGATATAACAGTTAGTCGTCGGGTCGAAAGATAATAGCTATTGTACTCGCATATACCTTGTTATTATAGTGGGACGTTGTCAATTAATTTAATTAATTATAAAGTTAACTTCTTTTAACCGACTTCAAAAAAGGACGAGGTTTTCAATTTGACTGTATTTTTTTGTTTTGTATGTATGATACGCGATTTGTAAACCGATTTTGATGATTTTTTTTTATTGGAAAGTGGATACATCAGTATTAGATCCATTTAAATTTGATGATAAAATTCCGCCTCTAAGGGTGTCAAGCGAGAGGATGAATCCGGTTTCGAGCACTTTCCGGTAACCGATCTTAATAAAATTTGACAAATTAATGTAATTCGCTATGACTTGGACCTTTTCAAGGGGAGAGTGAATAGGTATTATTTAGGTACATTGTCGACCTCATCATCACTTTCCATCAAGTGAGATGGAGGTCAAATGCGTACTTATTTTTAATAAACAAAAAAAAAATCCACGTCCACATCCAATGTTCGTGGATTTGGATTGTGTGGATGTGGATTTTTTTTTGTTAAAAAAAAACTGACCTCAAATTTTGAGGTCAGTTTTTTTTAACAAAAATGTAACAATTATTAAATGATACGAGTTAGACAACCTTCTAAGTGATTGTTAGGTACTGCAGAAATAATAATAATATTTAGCTTATATAGTCCCGCTGTTGGCCACAGACCTCCTGTGACAATGAGAGGGATTGGGCCTACGCCCACACAAACATCATTAAATTTTTTAGTAACAGAAGAGCTCCTTGTGAAAGTGTTCGTCCAGGGAAGTACTGCCACCTTATCTATTTCTGCCACCAAGCAGGAACGTTAGCATTAATGCGTTCCGGTTTTGAAGGGTAAGGGTGCTGGTAAAATTACAGGCAAATGGAAAGAATAAGAAAGAAAGAAAATGTAATTCAGTATCATTCATTTTAAATTGTACTTACAAAATAAACAAAAATAAATGAAAACTAAAATTAGATACTGAATGGGCACCACTCAGCATATGCCGTGGCTGAGAACAGCCACGGCGCTGGTATTATGTGGAGCCCATGGAGTGCGTCACAGGCGCACCAAGAATCACCACACACTCGTGTGACCCTGACATTTTTATATACGCTATCAAATACACACAATTACCAAATAGTGTGTTACGTAATGACTAAATAATAAAAATGTGAGATGCTTACCCTAATTTATGTATCATATTCATAATTTATTAATATAATTATTATGTAAGTAAATACCATGATTTTTTTATTCAAATACCATTCGTTTCAACACGATTCAATTTGTTACCACGATAAGTAGTCTAAAATTTCTATTCTTTCTAGAAACTAGATATTTTGCTAACTATAACATGAGAGTAAAACGTATAAAGGACATGGGACTTGTCAACTTATGTCTCAGGGTGACGGGTGCAGTGGCAGTGCCCATCAGATCTTTATGATTTAAAGCTCTGAATGGCACTGCAACTGTTATGGACAGGCGTGTAGTTTACCATCAGGCACACGACTTGTTGATATTATTAAAAAAAAATGTTTTGCAGATGTGTGTAAGCTCATGGTGAATTTCGCGCATAAATTCCAAAAAGTCAGAGGTGCGAGACAGGATTCGGACCCACGACTTTTTGCTTGAGAGACGGTTGTCTATTGTAGAAATAATAGCATTTAATAGAAAAAACTAATTAGTTATTATAGTATTAAAAAGTTAATCTTGAAATCCATAAAACAGGAAACTACGGTACTTAGGGCATCTCATCATATTTATGTGACCGAGAAGTAAGGTGAGCATTCCAGCGCGGTCCGGTTTTAAAAGGTGCTGGTGAAACTGCACATGGAAGTTGTCACTTTTGTTTGTGCTAAAGAAAAAAACAATGGAAACGCCTTAAGTCTCGACTACAATCAGAACCGATATCGCCAAAACTCACACATTCTTAAGTCGAAACACAAATTTAAAAAGAAATAACAATTTCTATATTGTTAATATAATTTAAACTTTACACTGTTGGCATATCTTTGAAAGTTCAATATCAGTACCTATTATTACAAGTTACGACGTTTTGACATTATATTGAAATTTCAATCAATGTGCTGCCATCTAGCGGTTAATTGCTGAACGACGACGAATTGGAGTTATTAGTTTAGTTCTCCAAAAAAGAAGCGACCGTACTTCAGGGGTATAAGCTTTACTTACGTTTCTTGTAACAAAAAAAAAATATTTCGATAAACAGAAAATTGAAAATTTATTAAAATAAGACTCTCCAAAACAGGACAATAAGACATTTAGTAGGATTTTAGAGAAAATTCATGAAAGAATGACATAACGATACCATATAAAGCGAAAATGGCGGGTTCTGCTCAGATAGGTCTTTCGAGACCTATAGTTGGCACGCGTCAGACGCTAACTAACTAACCACTTCTACCGTATTTATTGTTCTGTGTTTTTGTTCCAAAGTTAATACATTTTGATACATAATATTTATCTATTCAGGAAACAGCCTTGGACTCTCCGTTTATAAGTTAATATGATATATATACCCTTTAGACCCTTCTTTTTGGTCTAGTCAAAGGCGTAGACCAAAGGGACAAAGATCACATTATGAGGTTATTTCTAAAGGATAAAGAAAGGGTTACCCGTTTAGACATACATACACACGAATAAGTTTCGGGTTTTTATTTTATTTAACATTTTTTTGGATACGTGAGAAAAATGTACATGATTGAAATAAACGAAATGTTATGTAAGACGGGTTATAGAAAAACTGTATTGCTATATCAGATGATTTAGATATTTAAAATCTCCTAAAATCTAGTCTCTAGGCTTCAAATACCTCACCTTTATTAAGGCGTAAAAATCATTTAACTAGTTTTCTTGTAACGTGTTCTGAGTTTACCTAGCATAATGATTCCAGCAACCATTTTAAGTAATGAATTTTATCATGTTGTCATTGACTCCATCAAGTGTCTTGACTAAAGTTAATAGTTTTTAGTATAGAAGGGCAAAGTACACAATTTGTTTGAGTTCATACAGGGAAGTACTGCCACGCCCCCAAGCAGTAATGTAAGCATTACTGCGTGCCGGTTTTAAAGGGTAAGAGTGCTGGCAAATTTAACTAAAAAGGCTTGTCAACTTATGTCTCAGGGTGACAAACGCTACGCTAAGACAGTGCCGTCAAATCTTTGCGAGTTAAAGCTCTGAGTGGCTAAGCAAAGCAAAGACTTGTCTTGGCTTAACATCAAGTGCTCGACTCGTTCGTCATGTTACTTGTTGTCATAATAAAAACACTATTTCATGATGTTTTATAAATTTTCAAGACACTATTCGAATAAATTTTCAACATAGTTTTACAGAAAAACTTAAGGCCTCTACTTTCGAAACTCAGAAATTACATTAGCAGTATTTACCTTCACTGCCACCATACGTATTCCTGCCACCCAGCAGAAATGGACGCGTTACTGAACGCAGTATTGCTCGCAGTTTAACTTTCCGGCAGATATAGATATAGGAGCAGAAATAACACGACATAAGAATGGAGTGCTCCGGAACTTCTAGTCGACCGATGGGAGGAAAGGTGAGGGTGGAACTAAATTGAAAAGTTCCTGCGCACACTCCCCGAAATGTATCCGATAGAAAAAAGTTTCAAAGAATCGGTAAAGAAAAAGGAACTTATGTCGTAGTAAGAAACCTACAACCAGTGTTGATTATTTTATCTTGCCCTAGTATTTAAACTTTTAAAGCATATTAATCTTTTGTAAAAAGTCACTGCATTTTGTATTTACAAAATTATTTTCTCTTTGTTACAGTTTGTTCAGTCACCGGCACGGCATCTCACCTCACAGCTGATCATGGCTTCAAACTAATAAAAAAGGATAACAATATCAACACAAACATGAAAATAAGGACCAATAATTATATACCATATAATGATAATTTAAGCTCAAAACATATTGACCTTGATAAAAATGTTTATGAAGATATATTTGTTAATAACCAAGTAAATGACATGAAATCTAACATTGATAATGTAAATTTTAATGTGGACGGCAATATTAAAATTGATAAATCAAATGTTGGTAAAAGTGTCGAACTGCAAGATATTGAAATAGATAATAGTAAAAAATTTGAAAATGTAAAATTTATAATCAACAACAATGTCAAATTTAAAGATACCGAAATGTTTAATCCAGAACCTAGTTTAATATTAAGTGAAACGATATATCATGGACAAATGAGACAATATGACGAGAAAACCTATATGAATAAGAAAAATAAATATAGAAATGTACCGAAGAGGAGAGTAAAGAGAGAAGATGATGAATGCGAAGGTTTTAAATGGGAGTCAGGCGTTACAAAACTACAAAGTCCTTTAAGCAAAAACTCAAGTACTTCTAAAGATGGACTCTATGCTAGTAATGTTGATTGTTACACTGTTATCAGAGGTAAGTGAGTTTTAAACTCTCTGTTTTTCTTTCGCTTAACTAATGAGACTTAGTTGAGGCTGTTTATTATCCATGATGCATTCTGAGGATAATTGTTAATGTATCAGATATGTCCAATCAACGATAACGTTGTTATTAATAACACTTAGAAGCTTTCTGAAATAACCAATCATGAACGTATTTATTTTCAAACCATTCAAAGCTTGATTTTTTTGTTATAAACAAAATGACCAAAGACGAAGAGTTAATCCTGGGAGGTTTTGCCATTTTACCTATATCTGATGTCATGTAGTAATGTGAGCATTAATGCATTCCGATTTTGAAGAGTTAGCGTCCAGTCACACCCAGTTTAACACACCTTCATGTGCTTTAATGGCGAATCTGAATTCTATTTACTAGGCAACAACATTTAAAGTCCTCTGAATAATACAACAACTAATAGTCGAGTAAATTCAAGCCTGATCTGTGTCCGCGTCCCGCGTGTCCGGGACCCTAAAAGCTAAACAAATAGAGCGAATTTTGCCATGACAGTTAGACGCACGCAGTAGCTGTGCGGCGGCAACGCGGACTCCGCTCTTCGACCGCGCGGCGGCCACGCGGGGTGAGCGCGATGAAATTCGTATCGAATAAATGCGCCCTAAGGGTGCTGGTGAAATTACAGGCAGCTCTGAGCAAACGTGTCACTTATCACCACGACCAGTTCGTCTTCAATTTCCACATATTATACTTAGCACCTTATGGTATTACCATATGTCTCAAGGTGACGGGCACTGTGACAGTGTCCTCAGATCTTTACGACTTAAGCTCTGGTACTGCAATTGCAACAAGGCGAAGGACTTGTTAGACGTTATATAAAAACTCGCAAAAATTTCGAGGTTTTTTTGCCATCAACTTCTAGAATTTTTGTTGAAGTATAGTATAGATTTGAAATATAACGTAGCCTTTTTGTCTTCAAACAAAGAGAAACCCGAAAATTTGTGCGTTTCCACAAAGCTTAACTTCTCATTGCCCTGACCACAAAATTCATGATTTTGCAGGGAAATAAAGTTAATTTTATGTTTATTTGTGCCAGGAGGAGTAGTAGTACTTATTTATTTTATTAGGGACAAAAAACAGCAGGACAAAGCTAGTAACAAACGGTCTCATTAATAATTTGTACATAATTATGTACTACCAACAATATCATCCACAAGTTGCTATAATAATAATAATCATCATGTTCCCACTTAATTATAATACAAGATATTATAATTAAGAGCGACATGACAAATACGATATTAGTTAATACATAATACTAATTACATTGGAAGACGTGTACTAAACTCCAAATTCCAGTTAATCATACTAGGCACTCAGCGACTCCATAACAGCTGCTCTAAATTCAATTTTTGAGAGATGTACAATGTCTAACGGCCGCTTTCTATATTTGATCCTGAATCTAAGATTGTTTTCTATCCAGATTTTATTCTATCCATCGATCGCTGCCGAATCTGTATTCCAATATGTCTATCTCGGCTCTAGCGCCCTTAAAAAAAAAGGATCGGTCGTAAATTTACTACCTCTCTGACGTTTAGTTCCACGCAATCGGAGTAAAAGATCATTACATGAATTAGTGAATAAAATGGTGGTTATGATTCTAAGATTAATTTATTTATACATGTGATTTGGCAAAAATATAAATTAATTGCAAACTTTCAAGTATAGAATATTTAAACCGTAAGTACGGCAAGAGCAACATGTTTCGAGGAAGAGAACGGAACGTCTATTGTCCAGAACGGAACGGTTATTGTCAAACGAGCGGGACGGCCATATAGGATGGAAAAAAATAAAGGGACGGCGCGGGGCGGCAGCGGCGAAATGTTAGTGTCAATTTATGTTTTGTTGATGTTTGTTCGTATTCGTGACGTGATAAAAAATCTTAATTATAAAAATACCGTTTTGATTTTACTTTGATAAACGGCATTAATTCAGTTAAAACAAATTCATCTGATGTTTTGTTCAGCCTAAATTTGGATGTAAATTCAGCATCAGTTAAACTTACCATGAAGTTTATACGCCTCAACGTTCTTGAGGACACAAGCTGCTCTTGGTCGCTGTCGCTATTATCCCAGTCCGATAACTGAGCAAATGTTCAAGTTCACAGTCGCTATCACTTAAAAATAACTTCCATTTTTACTCGATTACACAGTACAATCGGTCAAAATTGGAGGATCGCTACTATCGATCGAACACGTACAAAATCCGATTTGTCAAAACTATGGATTGCATATTGAAAGCGCACATCTGTCACTACCATACAAATGTCAATCTAAAAATGCTATACGCCCTCCCACAGATGGATTGAAACAAAAGATCGGAATAACGATCCATCGATCGGTTATTGAAATAGTAAAAATAGGATTTGGATTGATTATTCAAGCTTAGATAGCAAATTATGAATTGAGATTGAATATAGAAAGCGGGTGTAAATCCCTAAAACGATCGTTATACAATTGAGCGATCCGGCGCAACAGTACCCGCCTGCCAGAGTTCGTACGGCAGTAAGCCACTGCAAACAACAAGTAATCGCGCACACGCACCGAGGGCTGTACTACTCGCCTAGGTACGGAGTATGACAGTTTGTTTACAAGACATGTGCAATTAATATTATTGTGACATTAAGAATGTAAAAATATCACCTGAAGGAGGATACGTCTAGCTTTTAAAGAGAGCAGGTTATAACGGTCCAGAAATTTCTTATAAGGTAATTTTGTTATATTACACAGTTTAAAATTAATAATCCGAAGTAAGAGTAGAGAGAAGAGAGTTTACGTTGAATTTTCTCTATATTTTCACAATATTTATTATGATAAGGATCCCGTACTGTACACGCATATTCAAGTTGCGAGCGTATTAAGTGTTTGAATAAATAAGATATGTAAAGGGTTTTTTAAAGTTCATAGCCGAATTGGTTACAAATCCATATATGCTAAGATAAGCTTTACAGTCTCAATATGGAGATTTAGGTGTAATTTACTATAAAGTAAGACTCCAAGATCCCGCAGAGAATCGACACTGACTAGAGGTTCGTCACAAAGTTTATATTCGGTATCAATTACATTCCTGTTTTTAGTAAATGAAATGACGTTACATTTATTTATATTAAATTGAAGTTTATTCCTATTGCAATATATACTTAAACGGTCGAGGTCTTCCTGAAGTAAAACAGTATCACGGGTAATCTTAACAGTTTGAATATTTTCAAATCATCTGCGTAAATTAGAAAATTTGTATGATGAAAAGAGTCACTAATGTCATTTATAAAAAGAATAAACAGAAGGGGACCGAGAATTGATCCCCGCGGGACCCCTGATGTAACTGTCGCAATGTAAGACTGGTGACCATGTACAGTAACTCTTTGGCTTCTATTTAGTACTTAGTACTTGGTGCAACGGGCTGGTATCCGCAACTCGACGACAAAGAGCCTATTTTGCGTGTGGTGGGTGCAGGGTCCTACTCGTGCCACCCAAGCTCCTCCAGGAATCTCAGCAGCCTCCTTGGTTTGCTGAAGACTTCGGGGAGCGACCTTGGCACTCCAAGGTATTTTGCCCTGTAGTTGGCCACGCCGGAGCACTGAAGTAGGATGTGCGCAGCCGTTTCCTCCCCCTCCATGCACGCTCTGCATAGAGGGCTGTCTGTGATACTTAAATTGAAAAGGTGTTTATTATATGGACAATGACCCGTTAGGGCGGCAGTTAGAGTGCGAAGCTCTTGCCTTTTAAGTTTAATTAGTATTCGAGATAGACTGGCATTGAGCGTTGGGAGTGCTTCCCTCGCCTGTCTACAAACCGTAAGGGTGGTCCATGTATTATTATGTGAAGATTTTGTGTCTTTGTGTATAGTTGTTCTGGACCATTGGGAGGGGAGGGACACTATCGGTTCTACAGCGTCCGTCTCCGACCCTTTCCTGGCTAGTTCATCTGCTGCATCATTGCCACGTGAGCCGCTGTGTCCTTTAATCCACTGAAGAGTTACGTGGTTTTGTATACATACCTCCATGAGTGCTTGATGGCATTCGTAAATGAGCCCTGAGTTTATGTCATAGCTATTCAGTGCTTGAAGTACTGACATACTGTCGGAGAGTATTCGAATGGAGTAGTTCTTTACTCTTCTCGCTATGATTGCTTCTGCTGCCAACTTGATGCCCATACATTCAGCCTGGAATACTGTGTTGTGGTCACCAAGCGGTGCTGATATCATGATATTGAGGTCTTCTGAGTATACCCCAGTACCTGTTCCTGAGTTTGTTTTAGATCCGTCGGTGAAGACTCGGACCTCTCTGGGGTTCAGTCCTTCGTTGGGATCTTCAAATAATTGTATCTTGTATTTCTTGTCAAAGATGTATTGTTTTGGGATCCTATCCACAACCGCCTCCAGTAGCGGTTCCTCATTGACAGACTTGTAGAGGATTTCTGTATGTGGGGTCCTCATGTGCTTCCAGAGGCCGGCTCTGTTTAGACGCACTGCTGTTGACGCCGCTTCCTGTCTGATGAACAGTGGGAGGGGTCGAAGGTCCAGCATGGCTTCGAGGGCCGCAGTTGGAGTTGTCCTCATGCAGCCCGTCGTCGCCATGCAAGCTAGTCTTTGGAATTTGTCCAGTTTGTCGGTTGCGGTCGTCAGCTTGGTTCGTGGCCACCATACTATCGCGCCGTAACTGATCATGGGTCTTATCACCGCAGTGTAGAGCCATAGTGTAATCTTGGGTGAAAGTCCCCATTGTTTACCCACCATTCTATGGCACTGCCAGAAGGTGATAGTGGCTTTTTTAATTTTGTTGTCCATATGTTTGTTCCAGTTCAACTTGTTGTCCAGTATTACTCCCAAGTACTTGACTTCGGTTGATATCTGTAGTTCTGTGCTGAAGAGTTTGGGTAATCGGTAGTTACCTAGTAGTCGTTTGTTGGTAAACATTACTAGTTCCGTCTTTGTTGGATTTACCGATAGTTCATGTGCTCTGCACC